TTGGCGGGGAGTGGCTGCTGGGGGGTGGGATGCTGGACTTCTCAGTGGTGGCAAGTAGGCGCTCGACAGCATTGGTGTATGCAGTGCACGTCACCTCATGCTGCTGGGACAGCTGCTCCTGGTCAGCATGGCACCCCTGGTGCTCCTCCTCAAAGTTCCTGTTCAAGTAACGGAGGCACTCTAGGTGTTCCCTCGCCAGGTCGTCCTGGAGTTGCCTCCGCCTGCAGCTCCCACAAGGTCCTCAGTGGTGGCAAGTAGGCGCTCGACAGCATTGGTGTATGCAGTGCACGTCACCTCATGCTGCTGGGACAGCTGCTCCTGGTCAGCATGGCACCCCTGGTGCTCCTCCTCAAAGTTCCTGTTCAAGTAACGGAGGCACTCTAGGTGTTCCCTCGCCAGGTCGTCCTGGAGTTGCCTCCGCCTGCAGCTCCCACAAGGTCATGCTGATGGCATGGGAGGTGGTGGACTCATTGCCTGGTCCAGCTGTGAAGAAAAGCAAGAAGGGCAGCCATCCCAGAAGACACTGTGCATGAAGCCTACCCCTAATATCTGAGCCAACACTAAAGGTCTCAGGTCAGACAATGGTGATGTATTTTGAGAAAGGCCATCTTTACTTACACAGTGGGCACTTTCCTGCAGGGGCACAGACGTCCCAGAGGAGTCTTGCTACCCCCACATCCCAAGGACAAGCAGGCATTGGACGGTGTCGACTATGCCAGGAGCCTGTGGGTTGGAGCGGGGGATGGGGTGACAGCTTCCCTTTGTGTCTTCCACATGCTGGGTCTGGTAGTGGTGGCATCCCACAGAGAGAGAACTTCTATCCCTGTCCGCTGGAGGAGAGGTAGGGTGTTGGGGGAGGTGTGTGTGAGCAGCAGAGGCCACTTTCTGGAGAGAGTGCTGCTGCTGTCCCCTAATCTTTCTCTCCCCAGTAGGCTCCCCTGCAGGGGATAAGTGTCCTCCACTTCACCATGCTTGACCAGGAGTGGATGCTGCCTCGAGAGTGCGGGCATAAGACTGTTGCATGTGCTGCACTGTTGAGTGTGTCTTGGTAGCTATTGGTGGGAAGGTGTCCCACCACGAGTCCGAAGTAAAGCAGGCCTGTCCAGGGACCTTGTGAGAAGAAGCAACAGGTTCCTGTGTGGCAGCCTCATGGGGCGATCTGCTCCAGACTGGCATTCTATGTGCTCCTACGTGCACTGGCTGTTGTGTGATCCACAGGCCGAGAAATCCAAGCGAGGAATGCACAGCCCTTTGCAGCCCACCGCCTGCCCCAGCATGTAGATAGCGAAAGGTAGAGAACTCTCCTGATGTGCTTTCCCCAGCCTCGTCTAAGCCCTGGGAGATATCCTGGGAGGAGGGGATCAGCTCCAGGGTGATGACCACTTCTTGGCTGGTGGGCATTGTGTCTAGGCTGGCCTGCTCCTCCTCCTCCTTTTCATCTTGGTCCACAGCCCCGCCCTCTTGGAGTCTGAGGATGGGTGTATCCAGACCAGAGTCCACAACGAGGTGGGAGGGATTGACTCCCCCTCCTCCCAGGATGCCATCCAGCTGGGAGTAGAAGCAGCAGGTTTGGGGTGCTACTCCAGATTGGTAACTTTGTTCCCTGGACTTGGTGTAGGCCTAGCGCAGTTCTTTAATTTTCATGCACACCTGGTCGAGTGTGCGTGTGTGGCCCTTCTGAGTCAAGCTAGTGGGCATCTGGCTGTATGTGTCAGGATTCCTGCGCCTGATATTCCACACCTCACCCCAGACCTCTATGAGATCCAGTATCTCCGCACTAGTCCACTATGGTGCCCTCTTCTGCCCCTGGCCAGGGGCTTCAGAGGTGGCTGCCAGTATGCTTGCAGCTGTGGGTTGCTCAGAAGGAGTGCTGGGGTCTTCCATGGCAGCAGGGAAGGCTGTGAAGGGTCCTGCTGTGTGTCACTGTGCAAGCAGCAGCTGTGTTTTGCCAGCCCTTTCCCTTCTGCCTGCAGCTTTAAAGCCTGCAGGGGAAGGGAATCTATGAATTTTTGAGGGGGGTGGACAGTGTAGCCATCAGGGCAGCTGTAAGAAGCCCCAGAGGCCAATTATTTCAAAATAATCACAGCTGCGCTGTCTATACTCACCCTATTTTGAAATAGCAGTTTCAAAATGGGCATTATTCCTCATGAACTGAGGGTTTATTATTTTGAAATAAGAGGCCCATTTTTTCAAAATAGTTCAAAATGCGCTTGCGGCATGGATGCTCACCCTGCTATTTCGAAATAACTCTGTAGTGCAGACATGCCCTTAGATACCCTGTGAAAGAAGGAACGAATCCAAGGAATCCAGTGCATGAAGCTATATACCACATGATTAATTCAGAGCTTTCTATTCTGTCAGTAAGTACTCAGAATGCCCATGAAGTTCAGAGGAAGCTGTGCATGTTGAGGACTCTCAAGATCAGTCCCATACACATTGTTGCTTTGTTGTCTTTGCATTCAAGGAAACTGCATTTTTCAGAAAAATACAAAGCTGTCAGACTGAGCCTTCACTTTGCCTCCTAGGATAATATTGTGTCAAGTATCAGAGGGGTAGCCGTGTTAGTCTGAATCTGCAAAAGCGGCAAGGAGTCCTGTTTCTGGCCTGCATATTTATACCTGCCTCTGGAAATTTCCACTACATGCATCTGATGAAGTGGGTCTTTGCCCACGAAAGCGTATGCTCCTACACTGCAGTTAGTCTATAAGGTGCCACAGGACTCCTCGCCGCTTTTTTAGGATAATATTGTGTTCAGGGGCGGCCCGTGAGCTTAGGCAGACTTGGCGATCGCCTAGGGTGCCACCAGCCCGGGGTGCCTGATGATGATGTCATGGGGCGTCTGGGCGCCTGATGATTACATCACGGCCATTGACGGCCGTGCAGGCGGGGGCACCAATCGCGCCTTCTGCCTGGGGCGCCAGCTGCCACAGCCGGCCTCGGACCACTCCCAATTGTATTTCTAACTTACATTTATATAGCACATTTATCCACAAAATGCCTCAGAGGCACAAAGTGCTTTACACGCACAGTAATACTCTAGCTGTATGTGGGGAACAGGATCAGTACATTCGCCACTGAAACGCAACTGCCATTGGGATGAAGCACAGGAATTGCTGTCACCACGCTTAGGAAAGGATGTGAGGAACAACATGTCCAACTGAAACTTCAGGCAGAACTTAACTGCCAGAATAGGAATTTGGCTGAGATGCCACGATTGACACCCCAGCTTTTAGAGAAAGAGCTTTGGGATGTTTAACAAGCACAAGGGATCGAGATCTTGGTTTTATGTTTCATAACATGCCTCTTTGACTTGTTTTAGTCTAGAGCAGGCTGAGGCTACAATCATTTTTTTGTCTTTTAAACCACAAATCCTAAATTAAGTCATTGATCTATGTTTAGTCTATCAATGGAAAATAAATCATAGGCTATGGGAGATTTAATGTTCCCTAAAGGTAGATAAAAGCAAATCAGGACAAAAAAAAACTTCATGCAAATATCGAGTTAGCTATCTGTGAAGTGGACCTATTGTTCAAACACGCTGCATCATATTTCACATTCTTCTGTCGAAGCAATACTGCACCAAATTCCTCCCTGGTTGGGGACAACAAGAGCATAGGCAGGGAGTGCCTATTGAGAGCCTGGAGCAGGAAAGTTGGAAAGGATCTTGGGGGAGGTGGGTTGGCCCGCTGGCAGCAGGTAGGTAGATAACAGATCAAATCAATCAGCCTTGTGGAGAGGTAGAATGTAATACCAGACCTGGGGGATAGATAATGAGAAAACCTGTGATGTGGGGAGAGGCAGAGATGGATGGAAAACTTGGTAGAGGGTATTGTGGGCAAGGAGAATGGAGAAAAGATAAATAAATTTACTCATGTTCACTCCACTGTTTAATGAAGACAAACTCATTCTCATTGCTGTATGTTCAGTGTAGGTGTGTATGTAACCCACACATCTTCTGGGTGTGACATACAGTCCCATCCAGTGGCACTGAGGCCACATGCAGAGAGAGTAATGAGTCTGTTCTACAGCATTAGCTGAGCGCCAGCTGCTTTTAGCACATGTGATACAGCAGGCCTGGGCAAAATATGGCCCACGGGCCGAATCCGTCCCACCAAGCTCCATATGTGACCGGGGAGGCAGCGAGGATCCCCAGGCAGGCTCCCCAACAGCCCTGCAGCCCTGAGTGCCATGCAGAAGTGCGGCTGCAGGGCTCCATTTCTGTTTTAAAACTAGAGGGGAGGGGAGAAGTTTTAGGAGCTGCCCCACACCCACCACATTCCTATTGGCCGATTTCCGGCAGACCCCAGCCAATGGGAGCTGCTGGTTAGAAAAAAAGGCAGCTAAAAAAAATCACACCCCCTCTCGTGGGTTCAGTTATTCATGAAGCACATGGCAAGGCAGGTAGGCTGGCTGGCCGGGAAACATTTTAAGCTCTGCAGGCAAGCAGGCTAGTTTGGCAGCTGGCAAGTAAGTCTCTTGGCCACAGCCTGCTTCTGGCATCCCAGCCTTTTCCTGCCCCAACTCTCTGCCCCCCCCACTCAACATACTTAAACCCTCTATCCCCCTCTTATACCCATACCACCTTCCAGATCTGGCTAGGATTGTCAGATGGTTTCAACAAAAATACCGGACACACTTGACATTACATCACAATCTACTTTACATCTTATTTAGAAAATACCGGACATTTATATTTTCTCAATTTTGTTTCTTGAACAGAAAGCTCAAATACTGGACTGTCCAGTTCAAAACTGGAGACCTGGCAACCCTACATCTGGCACCCCAATCTCCTGCCCCAGGTCACAATACCCTCCTACCCTACATCACACCCCAAACCCCTGCACTCCAGTCTCCTGCCCTAGATCACAATCGCCTGCTTCATCCAAACTCCCTCCCAGACTCCAGTCACCCTCCTGCACCCCAGTCCCTTACCTCAAGCTCTCTTCTGCACCCAACCTCCATCCCAGACCCCGCATCTCCATTAATATCATGGAAGAGTGCAGCCCTCGACCACTTTCCAAAATCTTGGAGTGGCCCCAAAAATTATTGCCCACCCATGCTTTAAGAGAATGAAGGGACTCCTATATGGCATCACCTAACACCTGTTTTCCCTTGAAGGGAAGATCCTTGATGGTATATTGTACCCACAATAGTACTCTGTACCTACAGTTGAAGTCTGGAACAAATGAAATGTACATTAAGTTCATGTCTGATCTCTAAGGATTCAGATCGGTGCTGTGTTTGAAAAATCACATTGAGAATGTCCTGACAGCGCTAATTTATAGCTGTTTCTGCAGTTGTTTTACCTTCCCTTCTCTTCAGAACCTGATCAGTAATACACACTTGCCTGAGTGGCTTTCCTTACTCCCAGTGCTAGCTAATAGGACTGAGTGAAAAATCTTGTTCCTTGTATGTTCTTTAGAAGCACTTAACTGACTCCTGGGAGAATTAAGAACCAAGCAATATAGAAGGTCATCCCTTTGTCCCTCCTGCTGCTATCACTAGACCATGTTTTACCAACTTCTGAGTTTTTATTAAGTTTTTCAATATTTGGTGGTTTCCTGAAGCCCCACCTCCTGAAGTCCTGTGATTTATGTGAGAATCTCAGCTTTTTAAAAACAATGTTAAGGTTTTTGTCCTTGAGGTAATGTAGAAAAGCTTAACATGTAAATTCCAGAGGCTCAGAAACCAAACAACAAATAAAAAGAATCCATATTTTTTTTAGAATATCACAAGGGGATGGAGTGGCCCTAACAATGCCTTGACCACTTTCCAAAATCTTGGAGTGCCCCACCCCCATGGTACAGGCTCATGTTCTAAGTTCCAAAGGTCCCAGGTTCAATTCTGCCTGTCTGTGTTATACTTGCACCTCACATTTTGGTTCTGGTCCCTCACTACTAGTATTAATCTTAAGAATTTTCCTTGTGTCATCTCTGTGGGAAAATATCTAGGCAATATCAGAATGTTGTTACATACATCACCTAGGTAGCGTTCCATCCATTTAATGATATCAATGCCTCGTACTGTGTCTTCAAATATATCAATCTGTAAGAGATGAAGAGTTTGAGATTATTCCTTCCCTACCCTCGGTAGGCCCGGAGGGTTGTGAAAATGTTTGAGGGACAGGAGAGTTTCCTGCAATATTTGTAAAAAAGTTTACCAAACAAATTTTCAAGTCAAATACTGCCCTGAAAGAGTCAGAGTCTAAAGTGTTCACTATTCCTAGCTAAAAGATAAATTAGCATTTACATAACAAAATCATTGCCCCAGAATGAAGCTTCACACAAAATTGATGACACTATCTAAAAGTATTGAAAGTTTTAATTATATGTCTGAGAACATTCCCGAAGTGCCTTCTCTGTTCCTCCACTCCTGTGGCTTCTGAATCTTCTATTTACAGCCCTTCTCCCAACCCTTCAAAATCAAACACACAAAACATTCTCGCATCCAAAACCCAAAACAAAACAAACTGTGTCATTATTTCCCTATGGGTACATCTAGACTACAAGCCTCTTTCTAAAGAGAGCATCTAGACTGCAACTTCTTCTTTCAAAAAAGTGAGCCGTTTTTTTTTGAAAGAGAGCACCCAGGCAGTCTGGATGCTCTGTTTCGAAAAAGCCCTGTTTGCATTCAAGAATGCCTTTTTTCAAAAGAACACTTTCAAAAAAGGCATTTTTCCTCATGAAATGAGAAGTACCACCATCAGAAAAAAAGCCACATTCTTTCGATTTAATTTCAAAACAACGCAGCTGTAGTCTAGACACAAGTGAAGTTTTTTTGAAAAAAGGCACTTTTTTTTTCGAATAAAACCCTGAAGTCTAGACACATCCTATCACTGCAAAAGGACACATGAATTTATGTCCAAAACTATTTATTAGTAAAGATCCACAACTTCCTTCCTGCAAAGTATCTGATCTTGGCTCCACACTGCCCTGATTTTTCATCCAAAAATTAGCCAGGCTCTTGCTATTAGAAGTTCCAATCCAGGCTATAAAGAGTGCTGAGTGGGAGGAGGCTTTGTAGTAATGAATATGATCAGCCTCAATCAGCTCTCTGCCAGGTTTGTAAACTCCATAAATTGACAGTCTATGAAGTTGGCTACTGAAGTACATTTTAACATTTCCAACGGTTTTGGTAGACAAGCCATGTGGTTGTCTCCCAAGACTCTGTTTTTCTCTTCTTTAAAAATAGTAAGAGAGAAAATATTTGGGTACCTGCTTTGATGCCTTTTTTCTCAATTTGTTACTATGTCTCCAGAGGTGATATCAACAGGCTTTGTACGGAATGGTCACATTTAGAATCAAACTCTCATAAACAAGGATCGCTTGAGCCTCTGGAGAAAAGCTTTGATTCAACAAAGCAAATAAGTACATGCTTATCTTCCATTAAGTCTTATGAAGCCTAAAGTTAACCATGTGCTTAAGTACTTTCCTGAATAGGGGTCAATGAGGGGAGGTGGGAAAATCAGAAAACTTATGCTCCTGAAATAAGAAAAAATGAGTCAAGACTTGTTTCTAGCACTGTCTAGACTACATTCCTCTTTTGACAGAGGGATGTAAATTAAACACATCAAAATTACAAATGAAGCAGGGATTTAAATATCCTGCACTTCATTTGCATAATTGCGTCATTGCACTCTTTTGAAAAAGCACCATTTCGAAAGTAAAATCGCGGTCTAGTGCAGGCTTTTTCAAAAGATTTTGTAAACCTCACCTTGGCTAGGATGACTTAGTTGGGACTGGTCCTGCAAGGGATTGGAGTCCATGACCTCTTAAGGTCTTTTCCCAATGATTCTATGAAAACCAAACTGATTTTTCCTTACCAGAGTTGACCAATTCTAATCAAGCAGCCTGTGAAAGCTCATATGGATGTCCGTTCTATACCAAGTTGTCAATAAATGTGTCAAAGACTAGCAGAAGCATGACGTTCACTTTACAAAAGTCAACAAATGAAAATGTGGATAATCTAGTTTAGACTTTTCAACTAAAGCTCATTCCCCATTTGCCATTCCCTAAATTTACATTTAGTGATACACAGAGAAACATACACCTCTCTATTTAAAAATCAAATAATCTCTTTCTCTTTTCTCTGAAAACCATGCTTGCCAAAAGGAACACTCACCGCAGTTTGAAATCCATTTACAACCAGGAAGTTCACAAATTTCATGACCTCTATAGCTGTGTCCATAGAATAGGTTATAAAGACTTTACCTAAGAGAGACATTCATATAAATAAATGATGAGTCAAAACAGATTCTTCCAAGGAAAGGAGACAATTTTATAACTTTACTGGCTCAGTTGTGAAGTCAGTGTGAGGGGGCTGTGCCAAGTACATTTGACCTCTGTGACCAGTTAAAAATATTAGAGTAATAGATTTTGAGACCAAACGAGACCATTATGATACTCTAATCTGACCACTGGCTATAGGATTTCACCCAGTAATTCCTGCATCAAAGCTGTAATTACTATCTGAGCTCTTGCCTATCTAAGGGTGAGATTGATAATCTAATTCAGTCCTCAGACACAATGATGTAATGGCTGTTATAACTTTTTGTTAGGGCCAAAAAGCCTCACCATGCAGTTTTTAAAGGGGCCACAGTGTATTGTGTTTTTGTTTGTTTGTTTTTGCTTAACAACTCTGTGTCTTTTTTATTTTGCTCAACAAACTTTCCTGGCGTGGTGTTTTTTCGGTATTTTTTCTGAAACCATCTGGCAACCCTACCACCTTTACTTCTGCACTGAGTTCAGTGAGGGAGGTTATCTGGAGAACAACAGCTGTTGGCCAGACACTCCATTCTGAAGGCAGCATCCCACCAGCAGCACTGTAGAAGTAAGATATTGCCATGCCATGTCACTCTTAGTTCTGCACTGCTGCCTTCAGAGTTGGGTTGCTGGAGAGTGGTGGCTGTTGACTGAGGGCCCAGCTCTGCAAGCAGCAACACAGAAAGCAGGGTGGCAAAACCATACCATGCCATCCTTTCTTCTGCGCTGCTGCTAGTGGTGACTCTGCCTTCAGAGTGGGACTGCCAGCCAACAGCCACTGCTCTCTAGCTGCCTAGCTCTGAAGACAGCACTACCACAATAACCTTGTTACCCCACACAACTCCTATTTGGGTCATGCTTCTGCAATTATAACACCATGACATTTCAAAATCATTTACCATTTTTAAAATCACATGACTGTAAAATTGACCAAAATGGAGTACCCTACTTATTAGAGATGACCATGCTCAAGCCAGCCAGTCTAAGGCCTTAGTGCCCCATCTGTAAAACATGGATAATAGCACTATATAAATACAGCTGGTCCCTGAGTTATGAACGTGTTACGGACCAAATGCTTGGCCGTAACTCGGAACCCATTGAGTTACATTGTGACCACGCTGTTCATAAGTGCGGGTTGCATTCATAACTCGGAGCCCGCATTTACGACCGCTTTTCTCGTAAGTGCGGATGATCGTAAGTCAAGGTGGCCATAAGTTGGGGGCCAGCTGTACTAAGTTGGTGAAAATTCTGAAGGAGGAGGCAGTTCCCATCTTTTCCTTAACTGATTCAACCATCACTACAGACAAGTCTCTGGGCCTTGATTGCTGTTATTTCATTGTTATGAACTGTAATGCTTCCTGCCTCACAGGGACTTCTATTTTATCAAGAAATCAGCTGGCCCATGAAAACAATCCGAAGAGTATTTATTTTCTAAAAAAACATAATGGCAAGTAATTAATTAGAATTATGGTAATTTGTTTTCAGTTCCAAGGGAATAATTTGTCACACCAAACACATTCAGGACCTGATGATGTTTAGTGCAAAAGGTCTAGTTCATGTTAAGTGTTTTGTTTCTTTGTTGTCTTTGTGTTCTTATGTTGTTTACATTTTTTGATGCTAAGCATGTAAAGCTGACAGGCTGATGATCATAGGCAGCTTTTGAAATAATAAAACGTGACAGAAGAAAATTACTAACAACTTACGTAACTCTTCTGGCAAATTGCTTGTTCTCAGAGTTCCTCTGGCTGCCAGGTTACTAAGAGGTCTTGGGATAGCAGCTGGGGGTAGAAAATTGTTAACCTGAGCTCCAAAGTCAGAAGTACACTGAGAAGAGTCATTTTGAGCACATGCTGTGTGCGGCAGCCCTCCCTTGGGTAGCTGGTTGCATAACTGGTTTCTAGAAGGAAAAAAATTGTGATTTCTTATACACATACACACTGAAAACATAAAATTTGAGTTCTTCAAAAGACAAGCAAATGGTTTGCTTCAATACCAAATGGATATGGTTTATCAAATATTTACCAAATAAGAACATAAGACTGAAAATCTGAATTGAAGAGAGATTTTGAAGAGTCACTATTGGCTCAGTTTTCCCACCGATCTGTTTGGGTCTCTTTTGATATGTGTTTCCATTGATACTTCTTGGCTGGAAGTCTACCATGCTGATGTAGTTTATTGCAAAGGAAGCACTGACCACAGCAGATGAATGCAAGAGAAAGGCTGGATCCTTTCATACTTGAAAGAAGCTAATTTATAAATTAAGGAACCAAAAAAGAATTTTTGGATGAGAAGGGTAAACTTTCCAAATGGTGCAGGTCTGTGCATACACTTCTATACATGTGGATATTTGACCATCAGAGTGGCATCTACATAGTACATTATAGTCTCTATCTAGAACAGGGCTAGGCAAAATATGGCCCGGGGAGGGGGGCAGATATAGACTACCGAGCCACTGTATCTGGCTTGCAGACCACCCCTGCCGGGATCCTCAGGCACACACAGCTGCAGCAGTTTAAAACACAGTCCCTGCATCTCTCTGCTCTGCAGGGAGGGGAGATTTCATGTGATCTCCCAGCCCCCAGTCCAATCCTCAGCTCTGATTGGCCAGAAACACCCGGCCAATAAGAACTGACCTCAGCCAATCTCTCAGATCCTATTGTCTGGAAACAGCCAGCCAATCGGGGCTGAGAGATTGGCCTGAGAGCCTGGGATAGCGCAAGCCTCTTCTCCTACCGGAGCTGAACGCCACGTGGAGGGAGCAGCCTGCAGTTTCAAGATGGGGCTGCATCAGGCAGGGAGCCCAGCCTGCCTTAGGGGTGCTGCAGCCTGCTGGCCAGGAGACACTTAGGTAAAATCCTCCCAGCCAGTGGCTTCCTTCCTGCATCCCAGCTCCCTCCCCCAGGTCACCGTCCAAACCCTCTGCACCCCCTTCCTCAGGTGACAGCTCCCTCCCAGACCATGTCCCCCTCCTACACCCTCCCTCAGGCCAGAATCCTCTCCTGCACCCACACTCCCTCCCTGACCCTACACCCCAATCCCAATCAAGGTCACAACCCCCTCCTCCACCCAAACACCATAGCAGACCTCACACTGTCTCCTGCACCCCAGTCCCTTACCGTGTGCGCCCTTCTGCACCCAATCTCCAACCTAGACCCTGCACCCTCATCACAAAGAAGTGTGGCCCATGACCACTTTCCAAAATCTTGGAGTGGCTCCTCCCACCAAAAATTATTGCCCACCCCTGATCTACAAAGTGAAATGTGAAAACTTTCAGACCTTAGAGACTCAGCATCTGACCAGAGATGCTGGCTTGAAAAGAAGAATCAGAGTGTGAAGTGAGGAAGCACAGCAGCATTTCCAAACTGAAATATTTTGGTTTTGGATGAAAAAAACAAATGTTGTAAGAAACATTTTTTGTGTGTCTGACCAATTATAGTGGCTAAAATTGAGGTTTACCACGTTAGAGATTTGGGTTCTGGGCCTGCAATGACCCTGTATAATGTTTCTAACTACTTATTTAAAACAAAAAGAGGGGTAGGAAGAGAATTTTCAGTAGCTCTTCCCCAACTGTGTTCATGGCTGGGATTTATGGCCCACTTTCTCGCACTTTCTCTCACTTTCCCCCCTTATCCACATTCTGGCTACAACATATTTTTTGTTGTCAAATAAAAACTAGTTGGATTTACTTTGGCATCCATTTTCTATTATGAGTAAAAAGTTATAAGAGTCTATAGTCAATCATTATCAATATATAATTTGGGATAAGTATAAATTGAGAGTGCTGCTTCTTTTAGCAGGGGGCTGCGCTCAATGACCTCCTGAGGTCTCTTCTAATCCTATGATTCTATAATGTGGATTGTAGGAATCAGTGTGAAGGAGCAGCAATGTGGCCAAAAGATGTTTTAGATTTATTGCAAAAAGGGAACAAAGGAAAATGAGACATAATCCAGAAAAAAAAAATCAATCAAACAACGTCTGTTTTCCACAGCTGCTTATAAACTTTCCAGAACTTCACATTGACTAATAAATGCCACAAGTTATCATCCATTTTTGAAATTTGACTGAAACTCTCTCAAAGACACTCGATAGTCACCATTCTTTCTGCTGACAAATTGAAACACTTTAATGCAAACTTAATTTGCAGCTGCATCTCACTTTGATCATTATTGCTCTTAATTCTCTTGAGGCAGGGAATGCTATGTAGCCAACAGCCAGAAGTTCTGTTGCTGGTTCAGTTTCTTGCCACAGCCCAAGCCACATAGCTGCATATTTCCAAAAACAAATGCCTAAAGTTAACTCACTTGAATCCATATTTCAGCACTCAGGTGGCCTGATTTCCAAAGGTACTCAGTGCCTGCAGCTCACACTGAAGGTAACTTTAGGTTCTCCAGTTTAAAAAAAATAAATCAAACCTCATATTTCCTATCTCGTAAGTGAGGATCAGAGTGAAAGGAACTTAAATTTCTTACAGGTACTGTCCTATCACAACTTGGTCCCTAACAGCTCTTTAAATAGCTCCCTGCTGGCTTTTGCCGCAGCTCAGCTAGCTCTTGCTGGAGCTACGAACCAAAGCGCACCGGCTTACTTTAACCTCCAGCGAGGATAATACATAATGCAAATCACGTAGCATGATAGAGTCCTTGGTCCACGAGTATGGCCTTTAGGAGCTATAGTAGAAGCAGTAGTATAATAATAACCACACTAATAACAGGAGCAATGCGAAGCCTAACAAATGAATGTTTGCAAAATTCTAGGAGATCCTCAGATGAAAAGTGCTAGACATGCTATGTTTTATTATGTCATGAGAAATCCATGAAAATGCTGGAAGTGTTAATTTAGAATTAAATAAGATTTTCTCTCTTTTCCTCTGAGCTAGAGAAGAGATAAGGATGAACTTATTTGTTGCCAATCACTGAGGAATTCCAAGCTGATTGGCCTGACATATCATAAACTTGAAGGCTAAAGAATGTAAAGAATGTGACCTTTGTTCATATACAGGGTAGGGAGAGAGGAATAGTTCTAAAGTTTCAACTAAGATATTTCCAACTCCTTTTTAGCCTCCAAGAATGTACACTTGTTAATGTGCACACTTCAGAGTGAAGCAGACACAGGAACAGTATTTAAAATAAGCAGCTTTGAAGTTCTGGTACCACACTGAAAGTCTGTATTCTTCTCTAGAATTTCTAAAGTTTGTGTCCCAATTCTCCAGGCATACTTACGGAAATCGTGGGTGAACTGGAGGGGAGCATTCTCTTTGTGGAACTCTTTCTCCATTGCATTTAGGAGCATGAGGATTTGAATAGTAAGGGTTGACTTGCTGGGGGGGATGGATGACTCTTATGCAAGGCCCAGGAACAGGAGGCGGTCGTCTGGAGGGATGTACGAAGTGTTGGTAAGGATTCCTACCATCTAAGAAATTAAAAAAATAAGCACAAGGGTCTCATCAATCTACTTTTGATTTGACTAAATGGAAGTTTTCATATTTCAAACACAACCTGCTTTGATTCTAAGAAATCTCTAGCAGCTTGTAAGTTATATAGAACCATCGGTAGCAGGTGTAAGAATAGCTTTACAGAACAAAGTTCCATGCTCGAACAAACAATGTGGCTCAGCTTTCAACAGTGGGCTGGAATTTTGGGAAGATTGGAAGTTAAATAGTGAGAGCTGGTCTTCATCCATATTTAACATGCCTGACTATTTTTTGGCTATCACCTGAGAAAATGACTCATCTCAACAGTCTCATGAAAGCAGAAGAAAAACCCTGGAACAAATCAGTTTGCAACGCTAAAGCTAAACAGACTGAAGTTACTATAAAAGAGAAGAGAAAAATTAACTTTCATTTTGTTATTTCATTTGGAATGAATTTGCTGTCTGTCTAACAGTAACTTCTTACAGCCTCCTAGAAGGTATGAAGTCAGTCCTTGCTAAAATAACTTTGCAAAAACGCTCTTGTTTTTTTGATGTGCAAATCATTTTACCAGTAGTAGTTATTATTTGTATTACCATAGCATCTAGAAGCCTTAGTTTTTTACCAGCAGCCCACTGTGTGAAGTGCCGTATGAAAACAAAACAAAATGATGGCCCGTACCCAAAAGAGCTTACAATTTAAGACAAAAGGCAAAATGGGTGGACACAGGCATAAGGAGGAGCACAAGAAAACAAAATGTGTCAGTGTGATAGGTCACTGGGCATTGAGAACACAGCCTAATTGTTGTCACATTTTTGTGGGCACCCCGAAGAGGGCGATTGGAAAGAGGACAGTAAGTTAATTCCATACACATCTGCATAATTATTGCCTATTACCACACTACAGGTGCAGCAGAGCACAAGAGTGGGTGCAAAGATGAAGGTCTCTCCTTAGAAAGAGCAGTTATTCAACCTTATTTGGAGGTGATCTACACAGCCACTCCCTGTTTCATTTTTCAGAAATGACATAACGTGCTGGGGATAGTTACAGGAGACAGGAGAGCAGGTATTGGATGAAACACACAACTGAGATCCCAGCTACTCATAAAAAGTAAGATTAAGATTTTAGGTTTAACTTCCATTGTATTTTAGTGTCCAAACATTTTGTTCACTTTCTGAGCATGAACTGAATGACATAAGCAGGAAAGCAGGGCCTTGCAAATCAACACCCAGGCAGCTGACAGAAAAGGCAAAGCTAGGACACTGTCCTGCTGTGTAAGTCATTCCATAGTCTTTCCCCTTTAAAAGTCAAACATAGCTGGGCAGAGAGCACTACAAACCTAACTGGAGTGGGGTAACAGAAGTGATGCTGTACATTTGAAGAGAGGTATTATTGCTGATAAACAGGAAATAGCTTCTAATGAGCTGCAACAGGCCTACAGCCAGGGGGAGAGACTTTCCCTTCAGGATCCCACATCAGGTTCGTTGCCAGGAATGGTTCCCTGGCCTAGTGGTAGCACTGGCAGCCATATGCCTTCACCCAACTCATCACCAGAGCTTCACGTGTTTTATGGCTGATCTGATAGAGAAAGAGAATAATTTAGGCGTAAGCAGAAATAGAAAGCAACTGAAGCACCTTGCATCGTGGGCAGGGGAAACTCAGTCTGCTGCTGCAGTCTCTCTTTGTGGACTCCCGAAAATGACACTGCATCAGTACCCAGTCACGAGGTAATCATCAGGACTGGAAACTTATTGTTTTACAGAATGAAAGCTTAAATTATGTAGAAGCACATGGGACAGGAGTGAAGTGCTAGACATGTTGCCAACTCTTGCTATTTTATCATGAGTCTTGGGATATTTGGTGTTTTTTTTAAATCCTGATATCATGGAGACGTATTCTAAGGGATAATCTCAGTTTTCCTTTAAGGAACTCAAGTTTCTAGCCATTGTGCTAACAGAGAAAAACTTATAAATGTGATTCAAAGGGCTCAATCACCAGAAGCAAATAAAAAGATCCCAGTATTTACCATTTTAAAATCTTGTGATTTTTAATCCAAATTCGTGATTTTCAAGTGTTTGGGATGGATACTACTATGCTAGTAGATAATATTGGCTCAAGTTGACTCAGTTGGACCCTTGTTTGAATCATATTTGGAGTGCTGTGGCAGATTTATTTATGAATATAAGATTAAAATCCACAATTAATTTGTAGAATAGTGATAGAGATGCAGCCGTGATAGTCTGGTGTAGCTGAAACAAAAGACAGAACTATGTAGCACTTTAAAGACTAACAAGATGGTTTATTAGGTGATGAGCTTTTGTGGGCCAGACCCATTTCCTCAGATCAAGATGTGGAAGAAAATCAGCACAACCATATATACCAAAGTGATACAATAAAAAAAAAAAGTGAATGCATGTGAAATTGACAAAACAAATTTTAGAACAGTGTGGGGGTGAGGGGGGAAGGTAAGTTTCTGTGAGGTAATGACATTAGGGGTGATAATTGGGGAAGCTATCTTTTGTAATGGGTGAGATAATTAGAGTCTTTGTTTAAACCCATACATAAAGTGTCAAATTTAAGCATGAATGACAATTCTGAAGCTTCTCGTTGAAGTCTGGAGTTAAAGTCTCTTTGAAGCAATATGCATGTTTTAAGGTCATTAAGAGAATAATCAATCTGGCTGAAATGGCAGGCAACAGCTTTCTCTCTGTGGCGCCTTTTGTCAATTTCACATGCATTCACTTTTTTTTTTAATTGTATCACTTTGGTATATATGGTTGTGCCGATTTTCTTCCACATATTGATCTGAGGAAGTGGGTCTGGCCCACGAAAGCTCATCACCTAATAAACCATCTTGTTAGTCTTTAAAGTGCGACATAGTTCTGTCTTTTGTTACAATTAATTTGTGTGTTTATTATTAACAGTGCTTGATATTCTCTACATTAGTTCTCTTTTTATTATATAGTTTGTTTAGAATTACACACTATTTAGAGTCACTACTTCAGTGTCACAAACTTAAATAGTTTCTATTTTTCAACAGTTAAAGAAGGGTTACTCTTATTGCCTCTCAATATAATACCCTCAAGGTAACATCCTTCCATTGTTAACAGAAACAAAACACATGGTTATAAAAACTGCCATTTAAAGTATTGCCAGTTCCAGATGTGAAAAAAACAAAGGCCCCAAAAATCATGAGATTAAAAACTGACATTTTAGACAAATTATGTGATCTTTTTGTTTGTCTTCTGTGATTGGAGCCTTTAAAATACAATGGAATTATGTTTTCAAACTTTTCTTTTCAGCCATGAAGAAAATCATCTACTGTAAGAATTCTGACAAAATTATGAGAGTTGGCAGCATTCTATATTTTTTGAACTATAGTGGGTTTGCCCCACCACCTCACTGCCCTGCTAGCTGTGGTTTGGAAAAGCCTAGGGGAATGCAAAATGAAAGTAGACATGTTTTTTGGGATATTTCTTGTAGCAAGCTCTAGCGGGAGAGGCACTGCTATGTGAGGGATTTTAAGACAACACAGTCTCACCTCTTTCATTTGGCTGTCCATGATGCTATAATAAATGATACCTATAACTAGTGTTTCTTCAAAGAGTGCGGTCCCTATCTGTATATTTCACACATGTGGATCACCCATGCACCTTCATCCAGACTCTATTTGGCAAGTGGTGTCCTTTAGCCTGTACATGTGCCATCGCTTTCCTTATGCTCTGAACTGAGGGCACCAAAGGTGGTGTGGGCTGATGCCGCTCCAGTTTTCCCTTCTTACCTCAGGTAAAACAGTCCACAGTAAAGGGCACAGAGGGCAGGTAAAATGGACTATAGATATTTTCACCAGTACCACCAAAAAGTTAAGTGGTGGGTGAGAGGACAAAACCTACCCCCCTTTGGATAGAACAAGGTAATACTCCTCGCCTCCCTTAGGGGTGGGAGCACAAGAAGCAGGAGTGTGCCAAACTATCTATATTGGGTCCAGAATGGCCACATTCTTAACTAGCTGCAGAATGTCTGGTAAATTGAGCTGAGGCTCCTGGATTTTCTCAAACTGAATCTGTAGCTCTGCAGCCACCCTGTGCATGAGTTTGTGGTATTGTTTAATATTCTCTGGAGACTCTGGTGAAGATGACAAGATTGCTCCCAGAACTATGGGAGTCAGTGGATCTGGCTCATCTTCCCCTTTTGAATATTCTCAGAGGATCATTCATGGGTGTTTTGCCAACGGCAAATAGGACTCCAGCACTGATTCTTGGTGTTTAGGGCAGGACTTATGCTGTCTCCAACACTGACAGGTAGGATGGATCAACTGGCAGAGGATGACCCCATGGATACCACCTGTCTATTGGTCAATCATATCTAATTGGAAGTCAGAACTCCAGTCTTCTAGTATTACTGTCTTGTGCTACCTCTGTCCGATGCAGCAGAGACTCCTTCAGGGCCTCAGAATTATTAGAAGAGAAAGCTGGATCGCTTATCTCCAGTGGAACTGACAGTACTCATGCTTGTGCCTCAAGATGGGATGGGAGAACAACTCTGACTCATCAGGATGATGTTCCTCTGGTGTTCCAGAAAGGAGATGGGCCCAATAGAAAGGTGGATGCAAATAAGGAGAAAAGTTTTCTGGGGAGATGTAAATATCTGAGGGTATGTCTACACTACCCCGCTAGTTCGAACTAGCAGGGTAATGTAGGCATACCGCACTTGCAAATGAAGCCCGGGATTTGAATTTCCCGGGCTTCATTTGCATAAGCCGGCCGGCGCCATTTTTAAATGCCAGCTTGTTCGAACCCCGTGCCGCGCCGGATAGTTCGAACTAGCAAGTACATGGAACGAGGCGTACAGATAGTGCGGAATGGCTTGCTAGTTCGAACTATCTAGCCCCTGCCGTGTGTAGCCGCGCGGCATGGGGGTCGAACAAGCCGGCATTTACAAATGGCTGGGATAGGAGGAGAGTACATTGGAGCTGTTGGTAGAGTTGCCAGATGATTTCAACAAAAATACTGGACACACTTGACATTACATCACAATCTACATTACATCTTAGTTAGAAAATACCGGACATTTATATTTTCTCAATTTGTTTCCCGAACAGAAAGCTCAGATACTGGACTGTCCAGATCAAAACCGGACACCTGGCAACCCTACCTATTGGAACTGGAGCCACTCTTGTTGCCAGGGTGGTTGCTCCTTTCAGGGCCATATTGTTACCAGTACTGCATCAGCTCTTAGAAACAGAGGGAAGCACCGGGAGCTCTTAATCCTGACCCTCCACCATCTAAACAGACAGTGGAACTGTTGGATCCATACCTCTGTGTGCCGCATCCTCCTCATGAAAAGATTTACTCAGGCCTAAGTCCTTAGCATGTACATGCTCTCCATGCTGTGGGTAGGGATCTGTTGTGTGTGTGAGAGTTTTAGATGAAGTTCACTTATGTTTATGTCTATGGGAGTTCCCTTTGCTTTCCCTGGAGCCCATCTCTTTAGTCTGAACAGACTTGAGCCTTTCTTCCTGTGCTCATGTTCAGAAGGGTGCTGTATGGAAGTGGGTCTGATTGGGGCTTCGTTACCTTCTTTGTGAAAATGTTCTTTGAGTCTCAGACCATGACTCTCAGAAGTTCTGGGGGGAAAGAGCAGCAGATGCTGCACTTGGCAGAAATATGAGCCTCCCCCAAGGCAGTAGAGGCAATGGTAATGTTTGTCACATGTTGAAAAAGAGCAAGGGCAGGAAACACAGTATGTGAATTCCAGGACCCAAGACATAATCCCGGACTTCCTGGGTGGAAGAAGTTTGGGAGAGTGGGGAAGAAAGTGGGAAAAAACACTATTTAACTACACTATGTTGATGATACTATTAGAATTACAACAAGTACTAATTTATAAAAACTACTTCAACTATATGGAACATTTTATAGCTCTGATAGGCTATGTCTACACTGGCCCCTTTTTCGGAAGGGGCATGCTAATTTTGAAAGTGAGAATAGGGAAATCCGCGGGGGATTTAAATATCCCCCGCGGATTGAAATAAACATGTCCGCCGCTTTTTTTCCGGCTTGGGGAAAAGCTGGAAAAAAAAGCGTCTAGACTGGCCCGATCCTCCGGAATAAAGTCCTATTCCGGAGGATCGGGCCAGTCTAGATGCTTTTTTCCCGGCTTTTCCCCAAGCTGGAAAAAAAGCGGCGGACATGTTTATTTCAATCCGCGGGGGATATTTAAATCCCCCGCGGATTTCCCTATTCTCACTTTCAAAATTAGCATGCCCCTTCCGAAAAAGGGGCCAGTGTAGATGTAGCCATACTGTAAAAAAAGGAACCAAGGACACCAAAGCATCCAATGTAAGTCACAATACAATAAGACAGACCTAGAGAGGTGTCAGCCTACACCATCTTTTATGACCTTTGTTTAGAGCATGAGGAGATCTACGGCGCATGTGTGGGCCAATGGCCAGGGCCTGAAAAAAAATTCTAGACTTGTGCACATGTGTATCCCACGCGTGGAATACATATATGGACCACAACTCAAGAAGAAACATTACTTATCACAAACACTGTGTTATCATCTATCCATGGTTTCTAACATCAAGTGTATCATATAATAAACATGTAAAGTAACTGTCTTTGGGTGAATAGCTTTGCTGAGAGGATTTCTTTGACATCCAAAGCAGTTTTACTGTTCTTTCATGAATGGCCGATAGCAGGTGCCCAGGGCTAGATTACAGCCTGTGAACACAATAGACTATATTGTTATTGTCTAGAAAATACATAATAGAATGCATTAAGTGCAAAGCCTTATTGTGGGCTGTGATTGCCCAATAATCATTTGAAATGTAGAAAGCTGTCAGGAGGTGATTTATGCTGCACTGTGCATGTAACAGGGAGGACTCCAGTTCCAGTTTTTTGGTCCTGATCAAATCCATTTCAGGTATTTGATTTTTTTCCCCCATTGGATATGGTTGAAATGCTTTAATTTCTCTGTGGGGATCCTCCCCTTTGTCACAAAACAAACTGCACCCATTCTGTTAGTATATAGCTGCAGACAACCTGTGTATGTAGAGGAGGAAGGGAGAGAAGAAGCAAGTGGCTATCATGAATTTAGCTCTTCTTCTCTAGAAAACTTAATTGATGCAAGGAAGATGGAAATGACGAGAGCAGAAAACAGCAGCAAGGAAGTCGGAATACAAAATACATGACTAGGAAATAATAGCTTCTGTGAAATAGTTCTTTTCTGATGAGTGAACTTTGAATCCTAGAACTGATTTATTTGAACGGAAGGCTCTGCCTTAGCAAATTCACTGACATCGTGCTAACATTTAGGAAGATAAAAGGGTTGGTAATAGAAAACGATAAATGCATCTTAGGAAGGGTGTACAGTAGAAATACAACTTATTAAAATATAGTTTGGAGCTAAGCGGGTGAGAAAAGCATATTAAATGCTGGACAATTTCATTAACTTACATGGATTTTGGTGATGTGGATCAACTGGGCAATGGTATCTGAGGTTCCATTGAGCTTGTGGAGAAACATTAGGGTGCAGCATTTGTTGACACACAGGATATTGCTGAGGTTCAGTTCTGAGAAACTCTCCGGATATTAATGGTTCTGGAAGGTCCTGAGGATTAATCACAGATGTAAGTGGTAATGGAGGTTCTAACTGCCTGATACCCATGAAATCCCCAGGCTGAGAATCATATCCAGTGTCTGCAGTCGGAAGGTCAAATGGTGCTCTGTTATTTGATGGCTGATGTGGCTGTAAATCCTCTTGGCTTCTGTCATCCAGGGAATCCTGGGAAACATCAGAAAAACGTGTATTTGATTTGCTAGAGTTGTGTCCAGTGTCTGGAGAATCAGTTGAAAGCTGAGATCTCAATAGCTTATTTGTTTTCTCTGTAGCTAAAAGATGAGACTCAGGAAGGAGCATTCCAGCCACAGCAGAGGTACAGAAAGGAACATCTTTTCCAGAATCCTGATGTCTTACTGAAAGACTGCTCTCACAATCCTCCATTGCTACGTTGTGTGGTTCAGGCTGGTGATAGTTTGTATGTTCTGATGATTTATAGAAATGTGACTGATCAGACAAGGAATTTTGAGTTGGATATGGTCCTAACGGTGCCAAGTTCTCTTCATTTTCAACAGAAGGTTTCAAAGCCTCTTCTAGTGAATGTTCTGGAAATGGGGACCAGAATGCAGATTCATCAACTTCAACTGGTATGCTTCGACTCATCACAGTTCCTGAAAAAGGAAGACCAAAAAATATAAAACTACCAGCTCATAGTTAAATCCCAGCAGTCACTATAAAGACAAACATATCTTCAGTGTTATAATTTGAGAACACAGAGTGAAACATTAAAGACAGAATATGACAGCACATTGCTGAGCTTTTAAAGACAGATCAACATCAGGAATACAAGTCTGCTTGGATGGCTTTTGATAAAGAAACAAATGCACCGAGAAGTAACCTTGGACTAACCTTCAATGGAGGCCATTTCGAGTTTTTGTGAAGACTGTGGAAATATGAATCAAGTTTCGGAATGTGGCGTCAGGATTTTCCAACCAACTGGAAAACAAACAAATTATTCCTATTGAACCATTGCCATTTCAGATAGTTAAAAATGCAGAAATAACTTTGTATCAGAGATTTAATAGGGGTACTGATTAGAGTTTTGGGGATTACATTGCAGAAAACAGAAACTTAAGGGTATTTCTGGTACTTTGTGTCCCTGTTGAGTCTGAAAGGACTCTGTGTTATTTCCAGACATAAAGTTCAGTGTATTCTGATCTGGGAATTTGGTTCAATCGATTCCAGAGAGGGAACCAACTGCAAGTTTTGGATCCTGACCTGATAATGAGGCTCCACCCTGCTGCTGTGGATCTACTCTCCCTTTCTCAGCCAAATGAAGGAACTTTGATTCCTGTGCCAAACTTAATGACTAAAGCCAATCTCCAATTACTGGTTCTTATTTCGTCCAGAGCAGTTCATCCATTTTGTTATTACATAGATATTGTTAATTGAGGTTGCTGGGAGTTTACAGACATTTTGAAATTTTTGGTTTTCTTCTGGCTCCTTTTTTCTGATGATGTAATGACCTAGATTGAATGGTATAGGCCACATGGAATTTCAGATGTCCTTCCAGAATTCATTAGGGATGTTAAGTCATCAGCTTCTTCATTGGTGTTGTCAATAAAACTGTTTCAGCCAAATTATTCTCTTAATGTTTGCAATATAGCATTGTCATCCACTATTACAGTAGCAGCCAAATCCAAAACATGTACTATTGCTATACCAACTTTTGAGAATGAGACCTTCCTCTCCCTTTGCACAACTATAAAAAACCTCTTTTTACCCTTACCCTAAAGTTATCTGTAAAAGGGTATAGATTCCTGGAGAATGTGACCATTCTCAATTGGCCTTGAATATTTCACAGTGGGTCTCAGGGGGCTTTCTTTGAAATTATAATGTAAATAAGAATCAAATGAAGCAACATAAGTCAACCTCTTATAAAAGGCTAATTTTCTATACTGTTCTGACACTCTCATCACTTCCAATGGATAGGGTGAAGAGGCATGGGTGATATGCACCACCCCCTTTAGAGTCATATTTCTGTCCTATTAGAAGAAGACAGAACCCAAACTAGGACAATCAGTAAAGATGAATGGGACAAAAACTCATGGCAAAGCAAATGGCAACATCACCAACAACAGAATTTTGCTTAAAGGCCTTAATAATCGTTGGCATAAAGTATTAAAGAGTTTCCAGTAAACAAAGAAGAAATTTACTTCAGTTATATATTCAGTAACAAGTCCCTTACATAGAAAGTTACACATACAAAGTATGTTCCAATGAACAAAGAATTCAAATCAGTCAAGCAAGGTCACAGAGAATATCATAGTCTGTGTTTGATTGAGAAATGTCTTAACTCCATTCTTTCTTAGCAGCTCTTTCTCCAAAAATGTGAGGCGTTAATTTGAAGACATAAAAGCCTCATACCTTTTATAGTGAAATTCTTTGTCAAACTGGAGAAAAGCAATCACTAGTTCCAGTTCATCTGCTCTAAAATGTCCCCACAAGTCTTGTTCTTTTGCAGTAACAAAGGAAATAATACAATATATAGACTGAAGCATATCCAATTTGACTTTCCTCAGAGGAAAATCACTGGGAAAGGAATGTACATGTTCTGGTAGATTTCAGCTCTTAACTTTCACATGTTCAAAACCAACCATTTCAGAGAGTATATTAGCTTAGTAAGGCTGTAGAAAACAATGTAATAAAAATCACAAAAATCTTCACAAGGCATAGCCAGGAGGAAGCCCACATAATGGAGATTTTAGGCCGGATTCTTGGGTGCTTTGTTGCCAATGTGTAATACTAGTATATAACATGGTCCAAACCCTACTAGTACTCGGTAGCTGTGATTCTGAAGCAGCTTAGAGTCAGTGAAGTGGCACATCTGCTACACAGCCAAACCAGCTATGGCACAGTGAAGTTTTAGGTTGTGATTCTCTGAAAAGGAGACGTGTGGTCAGACAAAATTATTCTTCACAACTCCTGGCCTGTACATCTAAAGAAAGGATTTCTCCTATGTATAACTGCAGGTCTTTCTACACAGAGTAATTTAGCGCTATAGTTTTAGGTATAGTTTATAACTATAGTGCTATATTTATACCAGGAAAACGATGCTGATAAATTTCCCAATATGGATAAGCCCTCAGAGCAGTTACTGGATGGCACTAAGACACAGCATATATAGCTGCTTTACCTGGACAGGGGCCAGAGGACAAAGTGCAGTGCTAACTAGATTCCTTTTTATGGAAGGCACTAATGTTTGAAATCCTAATGGTGAGCTCATTGGCATCATACTTTTTTTTCCCCTGTATTTTGTGTAAATTTTCCTTTAAGCTATCCACGTTTCATTGCTATTGGTAGCTGAGTCAGTATCCTGTGACAATAATAATGCATATGACTTGAAAGAGAAAACATTGAGTTCTCAGAATTAAGATGGGGACTGGTTTTATTCTGTTCTTTGCAGTGATAGGGAAGTGATAGTTGCCTGGGAATGTTGGTTACATCACTGTCCCCATTGTCATTGTACTGTGGTCAGATGACTCTGCTACGAATCTGAGTTAAGGCCAGGATTAACAAAGGTATTCAGGCACTATATATGCAGATGGGTGCCTAATGATATACAGGCAGTCCCCGAGTTACGCGGATCCGACTTTATGTCGGATCCGCAGTTACGAACGGGGTTTTTCTCGCCCTGAAGAACAGGAGCGGCAGGAAGCCCAGATGCGCCGTGGTCCCGCCGCCCATGGCCTCTGGGGTGAGAAAAGCTGCTCCACGTCTCCCTGATCTGCTGGGGGGGAGAGCCCCCCCCAGCAGACCAGGGAGACGCAGAGCAAAGCTGCGGAGGACCCGGGCGGCGGGACCGCGGTGCATCTCGGTCCGCCGCCTGCGTCTCCCTGGTCTGCTGGGGGGGGGGGGGGGGGTAGTGGGCCCCCCCTCGCCCCCGCCAACAGACCAGGCTTTTCTCCGGACGCCTGTGGTAGAGCAGCTGGGGCGCTGCCGGTTGATCCCGCAGTGCTGCTCTGGGCGCTACTGGACCAACCCGGCAGCACCCCAGCTGCTCTGCCCCAGGCGTCCTGATTCAGCCGCTGCTGGAACTGACCAGTTGCTCACAACCG